GGGAGGGGAGGAGGAAAGAGAGAAGGGGGAGGAGGGGAGGAGGGGAGAGGGAGGACGCAGAAGGAAAAGGAGGTGAGAGAAGTACAAGGAATGCAGGAAATGTCGGAAGGAATTTCTTCAGAAACTTGAAAATTCAGAAAGTTGGGTCCATCTCTGACCCAACTCTCTCTTCCACAAATAAAGGAATAACACTTTTAAAAAAATCAAACTTAAGAAGTCAGAACTCTGTCATTAAAATATTTAAAAGGGGGCCGGCCGAGTGGCACGTTGGTTAAGAACTGGCTTGGGACGCCAGAGGGCCCCGGTTCAGATCCCACATATGAGGGTCAGTGACGCTGCCCTCCACAGCTAAAATGCTGAACAACAGCTCAACCTGGAGCTGGGCTGCCGTGAGTTGCCGAGTCAGCATAGGCTGCAGCCCCTGCTGCAGTGGGTTGCCATGGGCTACCGTGTGTAGCCAGCAGCCAGCGTGAGCGGCCAGTAGCCGCAGTGAGCGGCCGTCCAGAAGCCGGTGACTGATGTGCCTCGCCCGGGAAGAGCGCAATGATGGTGCCAACTTGGACCAGTGAAGCAGTGTCCTCCACAACTAGACTGAAGAACAAAACGACAGCAACTTGTCTGTTCTCCTTTCCCCTGATTCCCCAGCACTGTTCCCATCCCCCAATTCCCCAATAAAAAAAATCTAAAAAAAAAAGATTTAAAAGGCATGGAAGGATAAGCATCAAACCCTCACAATGCTTGAGGGAAGTTACACGCACATACCTACCGTATAGTGTTGGGTTTTGCCTCAGGAAACGTGCTTTTTCTTTTTTTTTTACCCAGTTATATTTTGTTCAGTCACGTATGGGATTGGACAGTGTTGATAACAACCAGGACCTGTTTTTGGTGGCATAGGAGGAGCCCTCACACCTGTAGCCTGTGTTTGACACACCTGCAGGGATGCACCCACCCCTACACCCAATGGCGAGGCCTGGGGTCCTGCAGGTCTAGCGCGGGAATAGGCACACTTTCTAGAAAGGACTAGATAGTAAACAGCTTAGGTTTTGAAGGATGCACAGTCTGTTACAAGTATTCTGCCATGATGTTACAAAAGCAGCCATAGTCAGTATGTAGATGCCACGAGGCCCTGGGGGTCCTAGTGCACTGCCCTCTGGCCTGGAGCAGTGCTTCCAGCTACTGACTGTACCTTAGAATCACTTGAAAGGCTCACTTGGGGGTGCCCAGGTCTCACTTCCAAGATTCCACATCTGGACAGGGCCCAAGTTTTTTCAGCTACCAGGTGATTCTGATGTGTATCCTGGACTGAAAACAATTGATTCAGAACGAGAATTGTAGTCTCAGGAAACTGCTGGTTTTTTGGTTTTTTTTAAAGATTTTATTGGGGAATTGGGGGAGGGGAACAGCGCTGGGGAATTGGGGAAAGGGAACAGACAGGTTGCTGTCCTTTTGTTCTTCAGTCTAGTTGTGGAGGACGTTGCTTTGTTAAGTCTAAGGCTCCTGAACAAAACTTGTATAAGAGAATTTTCGTTCCAAAGAGTTTATGACCAGACCTGGGGCTGTCTCTCAAAAGGGAGACTAGCAGCTAAGTCCTAGTGGGTAAGGGTTTTATAGCTGAAGTTGGATACAGAAGTAAAAAAAAAACAGTTAGTGTGTAAAAAAGG